CACTTTGAGCTTCGACAGCACAAAGATTCCGACCTGGCTCTGTGCAGCGTGTTTCAGCGTGAGGGTTGTAAACCAGAGATGCATCAGGGGCCGATGGCTGGTTCTTAAACCAAAAAATGGTTGCAGGTTCCCTCTGTGCTGAGCCTGTATTTGCCTGTCTGTCGGAGAGCACCTTCCCCTTTGGTTGGTGGTGGTTTCGCTTTCAGGCTGTCAAAGCCTTTGGCTGGCAGCGCCCGCGGCCGGGGCTGAGCTGCTGGAGAAAACCAAAGAGGCAATGTGACCGCAGAAATGTCTCTGTTTTGATCGAGGAGGTTCTCCCGGGTGCAGGATGGTGCCTCGTGGTTGAGGGAGGCTCTCTGAGTCTCCCTCGCTGGGTTGGTTTTCGACGTTGGGTTGGTTTGAGCTCACCTTGGCATTTCTAGCGAGCCGAGGAGCACGGAGGAAACGTTTCAGAGCTGTCGGCTGGAGGAGTTTCCTCTTGCCATGAGTGTTATTTGCTCTGTGGATCCCCCTGTGTGGTGGGTTCTTGTCCCTGGGGGCTCCATCTCCTGCTTTTAGCTTCGGCTTCGCCTTCCTGCTCGCTCAGCACCACCCTGGGGACTATAAAGCTGAGTTTGTTCCTTTGCGTGTGAGGCTGTCAGTGCCCACATTGAAGGGAAACAGTTTGATCCTTCTAAATATGCTTCAGAAAATATTTTCTGTTGATGCTGTCGTTGGGCCATCGGTGCCCCTTGATGTCAGGCCAGGTGGAGGCTGTTCCCTCAGTGAGGGGGTTTTATTTACATCAGGGTTTGTTGGATTTTAGTCCCCCTTGGTTTTTATTTCGGAGCGCGAGAGGTTTTAGGGAAGACTGTGGAGCTGCTGGCTGGATTCACAAAGCCAGAATTCAGGGAACACAATGATATTGGGTGGGATTTGAAGCCAGAAACCCAAGGCAGGTCCCTGGTGTGCAGCAGTGAACACCCACGAGTTGTGTTGGGTGCTCAGGCTCGGCTCAGGGCCGAGAGCAGGTAGAGACTGGGCAAGGAATTTCACAACTCTTCTAAGACAGGAATAGAAACCAAGTCTCCTGACTCCTTGCTCAGCCCCTTATCAGCTGCATCAGATTGCCTTTCTAATAATAATAATCATCATCAGGAATAAATAACAATAATAATAATAATACAAGGTGAGATAGTTACTACTCTTAGCGTTCGGTTTGACTTCGCTCGCCAAAGCCTCGTGAATCACACCCGCTCCGCCGGAATTGCAACATCTCACCCCATCTCTCCCCATCTTTAATTTAAATTTTCTGATACAGAGGTGGCAGCTCTGCAGCCAGGCAGAGGGAGCTGAGGGGCTGAGCTGCCAACACACTGTGCTGGTTGGGTTGGGGTTGTGCCTTTCTTTGGCAGAGTATGGAGCAGCTCGTCCTGGTTCTGGCTTGGTGTGCCCGAGGGATGAATTCCTTGGGACACCAGCCCAGGTGCAAGGTCAGCAGTTTTCTGCTTTTTTATTTCCTTTTTTTTTTCTGATTGTGGACTTGAGAAGTGCTAGAAGTGTTGGCTCCTTAAGGAGATCTTCATGGTGTTTATTTGCTGCTTATTCCCTTGTCTTGTGTGGACCCCAAAGGTTGATTTCTTCCCAATCTCTGCATCTTCCCCCAGCCCATAAATTGCTGATTGAAGAAGTTTAGACCCAAGTTGTGTGTTATTTTGATTATTTTTTTTGCAGATGATCATAGATTTATTGGCAGTAAGGAGCATATTTTGACTCCCAGTTTGACCTTGAGGCTTAAATTCAGGATTGATGAAAATCCAGTGTCTTGCACTGGAATAAAAGTAACAATAATAAAAAGAAAAACCTCTTTTCTGCCACACTTTGGTTTGCATTTTCTAATGAAGATGAAACCTTAAAAAAATTAACCAAATAAATAATGCCCTTTGCCCTTCCCCCCCTGCAGTTTTCTGCAGCAACTCTTAGTGTGGAAATACCAGTTGCAAAATGATCCAGGCTCAATCCTGGAAAGCCAGCATGGTTTTCCTGGCTCACCTACCACTGGGTGGCTCTCTGGCACAGCACCCCTCGGTGTGCCAGCACCCACCTGGCTCCCCAGGCAGCATTTGGAGCCAGTGCAGCCCTGGCAATCCTCACCCTTGGCCAAACACCACAGCTCGTGCTGCTCTTTCTTGCATGGTTTTGGGAGGAGAAAGCTGCCAGCAGGAACTGCAATTTATATGTGTATATTTATATATAAAAAATATACATTTTTGAGTGTATCTACATCAATACATACGTGTGTGTGCATAAATATATATAGGTTTTTTCCCTTTTTGGCTGCAAAAGAGTGGGACGTGGTGTGTGTTGGCTCCTGTCATTCCAGGGATCAGCAATGTCCAGGACTCGAGGCTGGATGTGGTGCTGGTGGAGTAGGCAGAAAAACACCCTTAATGTGGAAAGAATTGGCCATTTGTCTTGGTATCCTGGGAAAGCCCTGGGCATGGTCTTCTTAGATGTAGTGAAATTCCTCCAGCAAACATTCTCGTGGGGTTTTTGGGGCCAGAAATGTGGCTGAGCTCCACGCCCCACCTCTGAGCATCCCATTCATCTTCCACCCCATCCCATCGCTTCATCTCAGCCCTTGAGCAAGTCTTTTAACTCAAGCTGTGCCCAGACAAACTTCTGAGGAGCTCGAAACAGAGTTGAGATGGGTGAGAAATCACAGGGAAGTGAGTGACAGGCAGAGCCCCATGTGGAGCCAAGGATGGAGCTGGGATGGAAGGACCAGGAGAGCTGGACCATGGACCACGGTGTGGATGATGCTCCTTTGAGGGACTCACAGCCAGCACAGAGCAGCACCAGGTGTGTGTATGGCTGATAACAGCAGTGGCTTTAGCTGAGCAGCCCCTACCAGTCATCCCACAGGCTCTTTCTGAGTGATCTGCTCACTTCAAGATCTTTTTTTGCTTGTGCTCAGGCTCTTTCTGGGTTGGATCTGGAGGGGTAAAAAAAAAAAGAGGACATTCTGTCAAGTTGGCACCTTAACTCCAAACAAATAGCACAGCGGGTGCCAAGTGTTGACATACTTTGTACAAACAGGAAGTAATAAAATATTTGAACTTCCTGTGGAATTTCCTTCTTTTTTTCCCCCCCTCTCTGTATTTTAGCAGGAGCCCAAGCCCAACTCGGCTGAGCTGCAGCCCTGGTGCAAAGCCTCTCTCATCCACAGCTGCTTGCAAAATAATCCACAACAGGGAGAACAAGGAAAAATGAATAGCTGGAAGCTATACAGGGATGTTTAGTCTGTTCCTGAGTAAATGGGAGCATCTCCAGAGCCTCCCCCATCACACCCACCTGCTGGCTGCCTTCCCTTTCCCTTCCTTCCCACCACTCTCACCTCCTCTGCTGTCATTATTCTTCTCCTCCTCCTCTCTCTCCCTTACAGCTCCAATCCCTTTCTGCCTATCTCCTGGGAACTCTTGTGCAAAGTCTTTTTTTCCCTTTTAAATGCCTTTTCTTCCCTCTTTGACTTTCTTCTTGCTGCCATTCAGTCTTCTTTAACCTCCCTTTCTAAATCTCTTTTGCCTTTAACCCTCTTTTTCCTGATTCCCACCCCAGCCCTGATGCCCTGATCAGCACATTGAGGAGGAAAGTCAGACCAAAAGGTCCCTGTGTCCCCCCTTGTTGCCTGTTCAGACACAGCAGCACAGCAAATGTACTGGAGGTACTGGTTTTTGGTGTCTCCTGCCCTGCTCACGTGTGTATGTCAGATATTTGGTGCTTTGGGTCATGTCCCTGCTTGGTGTGAACACAGTAAGTGTCAGGAGCATCCAGACATCATCTGCTGGCTTGGACTGAGAGGAGAGGGTTTGTGGCACGTGCATTTCATATCCCCTTTCCCACCACGTTGTCTCTACAACATTTTTCTGGCTGGGCCTTATCCTGCACAGCCACAAATTCCCTCTGTGGTCAGTTTTCCTTCCCCCAAAGACTTCTTGCCCCGAAATGCTTCTTGCTGACTCTGAGCACACACTCTCCCTTCTCACAGCACGTAGCTGGTGAGTGGAAAGGCTTCTCACCTCCCACAGTGCTGAGATGTTTCCAAGAACCACCGATTTTTTGCTTTCATACCCTTGAGAGCCTCAGCTGGGTGAGGGTTTCCCTCCCTGCTGCCTCCCACGAGAGACGTCAGCCCGAGCCACAGCTCAGCCTTGAGCTCTCAGCTGGGAAATGAAGAGTTTGGGATGTGCAGAGGGTGGAAACCTCATTGTCCATGTGTGTGTGAGGTGTTGGTGGCATCTGTGTCCCTGTGGTGCTGGAGATCAGTGGGCACAAGGCTGTGGTTTGGGTGCTGCCTACCCTATGAGCACTCAATGCACTGGGCATTCTTGGCTGCAAGTGTGGGGTAAAAAAGCAAAAATGTGAGAAAAAGATTGACTGTAAAGGGGAAATCCTGCCTGGAAATCCAGCCTGGAGAAGGTTTGGCCTCTGTTAATGGCAATGTGCTGGTGTGGCTGGAGAAGGAAGGTGCCCATGGCCTCCAGTGCCCTCAGCTCTGCTGCTGGAACATCTCATCCAGCAGTTTGTGCTGCTCAGTTGGGAGCCCAGGAGGAGAAAATGGTTGTATCAGCACTTAATGGGCTGACACACACCTCCCTGTGGCTCCTCTATCCATCTCAGAGCTGTGCT